CTAGAAAAAAATCAATTTTATTAGTTAAAAAAAATTATCCACTATATAATGAAAAAAAAAACAAGAAAGATGTAATTTTACTCACCACACGAGCCTTTAAAACTTAATCTTCTCTAATGTTTTCACTATTCTCTATACTTGAATTCCAATCTACCAATAAAAAAATACAAATGATAAATAACGAGCTAACTAATTGCAAAAATGTAGATAGAATCACAAGAACCTCGACTTTGGCATGGATGAACATATTTACTGTTGTTTACTTGTAAGAAGGCCCTAATGAAATTTAGATAGAATTAGAGGAACTTCGACTTTAGTTCTAGAATATGCAAGCTGCAAAGTGACCAAGGGTGATTTTGAGAAAACTTATATACAAACTATGGGATTTTGGTACGTTGTGAATTCGGATAATAATAACGAGATAAAAGTAGCGAGTACAACTAAGAAACACGAAAGAGTAAATCAAGAAATAGAATACTAAAGGAAGAAACAAGTACAAAACGAGTAAGGATAACGAAACATACGAAGCAAATGGATATTTTTGGGCAAATGTAGAGCAAGAATTCATGAAGAATTTAAGAACTCTTCACATGAAAGCTTGAAATTCCTTTGAATCAATACCCATTTTTATCCCAAAACAATATAAAAAGAATCAAAGAGATTGAATTTGAAACTAAATATTTGAATGTTTAATTCATGGGCTACCTTGAACTAGTGGGTGGCGAGTTTCGAGTTTTAGTAATAGAACTAACATGGGATATACTACTTATTAATAGACTAACATTTCAAGTAGAGTGGGAAAAGGTTTTCTTATTACATCAACCAAAAGTTTGGAATACCAATGGCTACGAAACAAAATGAAGGATTTAAGTCAATCTTCTAATCCCGATAAAAATTCTCACCCTAGTTTTAGGCCAATCCATTATGTATACAAGTATTTGAAGTAGAATGCTAAGCCAAACAACAACCTACTCTAAATGCCATCGGTCTTACCAAAAAATAACAAGAAGGCCACAAGAGTAGCTACCATTCAACGTACAATTTATACGTAACAATAATTAATTAGAGTAGCAAACTACTAACGGGTTTTGGTTCGCGTGTTTTAGCTTTAAAAGGTATATCCTACTCCGGTCGACTTTTGTTTCCAAAAGAAGAGTGCTTCGGCATATCCGAATGTGTTCGACCACCGTATTACCTTACATAGTAGAAATCAACGGAAAGTTAGTTTAAGTCATTTGAGAGGAAAAAAGATCAAGCAATACAAACATTTGTTCCACATGATATTCAAGTAATTATGTGATAGAAAGTTGTATATGTTGTGCAAATATGCCTACAATATATTAAAGATTTGTGTCTCTAATATACAATTATAAGCATCAAATAGTCCATTTGTTTCTCTTCTTGGAACCACATCCATAGAATGCATTTTGGTCGATCTACCCATTTTGAGCCGATTAGACCTAGGAAGATCCGAGTCATCCGAAAGTGACAAGTCCATCGGCTTTTAGATTTGGAAAAAAAAAAAGCTCACAATTGATAATAAAGCATTTTCTACTTGTTCCATTTATTAGGAAAAATTAAAATTTGTGTTGCTCTAATGCAAATTCTAAAAATCAAAAGTTGAATTAAACAACGGAGTCATCGGGTAATTGACCACTTCATATGCATAAAAAATGCTAAAATTAAGTCGCCATGCTTACCTTTCTCTCGATTTCTTCTATTATATACTTCGAAACCTTTATAAAAATAACAAACCGAGTAGTTTCGAATACTAAACAACACAAGTAATTAACTATATATACCTAAGAAAAAGAAGTGCCTATTGCATTATAGCTCGGCTATGATTTTAGCTTAAATTTCCTCTTTAAAGGCTTGAAAATAGCTATTCGAGTTTGGCGAAATCTAAGGAACAAAAGATGCTAATTTCTTAACATGTCTTCATTTTTTCATTGATCGGAGAACCTAAATCAATTAAAAGCCAAAGAACTCTTCAACTAAAGGAAAAACATTTATAGAAGTATCAAAGATTTTTGTTTCTTTCAAATTTGAAAAAAGAGTCCAAAAAAACATAACCCTCACAACGACCATGACACAACCAGTCAAATAAGAATTAAAAACTTCAAAGTTAGAAAAAAATAACAAGAAAGTTAGCATTTTAGATTGAAAATTTAAAGGTAATTAGAAAAGAAAAGAGCACGTAATCTAATTGATTGACCATAAAATTAATTTAGAATACTTACCATTAGAGAGATCAATGAGAAAATCGTTGCGTACCTAATTGATTTGGAGGATAGTTATAATTTATTTTCTAACAAGAAGGAGAGAAGGATGAAGCATAGGAGAAGAAGCACGAAACAAATGAGAAGAATGAAGAAGCATAGGAGAAGAAAAACCCTAAGAGGAGAGGGATAATGTAGTGTTCTTATCCCTTTACGAAATAATAATAATAATAATAATAAGAAAGAAGAAACATAGCAAAAAATGAAAGAAGTAGAGGAGAAGAAGGCTGAGGTGAAGAAAGAAAGCTCTTGATAATAAAATGTACGATCTTGCCTCTTTCGAAAAAAAAAATATTAAAAATGAAGAAGCAAGAGAGAATAAGGAAGCAATAAATCGAGCGAGAATAAGCAAAGGAAGAGAAGCTAGAAAACCCTAAAAAGAGGGAAAATGAAACGCCCTTCTCCCTTTTAGAATCAAATTAAAAAAAAAATAAAAAAAAATATAAGGCATACTAAAACAAAACATAAAAGTGTTATAACACTTTTATCGTGGATTGACTATTCATTCCTTTTCTTTTTTCTTTTTTCCACTTGCATTTCCTATTTTGGCTTTTAGTGAATTTTATTTTCATTTTAGTCCTTATTTTGTAACTTTTTTTTTGTCACACTTTTTTCCTTTTCTTTTCTTTTTATTTGTTTGTCTGCATCCCTTTTTTTGGCTTTTAGTGAATTTTATTTTTATTTTAGTCCTTGTTTTGTAACCTTTTTTTTATTTTGATCATTAAAATTTTATTATATTTGACTTTTGTTCCCATCATAAATATTTTTTTCTTGACTTTAAGTAAAAAATTATGTTCTTTTTTGGTTCCAATTTTGTGATATGTTTTTATTTTAGTCATTAAATTTTTATCATGTTTGATTTTTATCTTTACTATACCAAAACTAAATAAAGTTTACTATCTTGAGCTTTTTTTTTTAGTGAAACTTTTCTTTTTATTATAATTCTTGTTTCGTGGTTTTTTCTTTTTCTTTTTTATCATTAAATTTAGTAGAATTTTATTTTTGTTTTTGTCCCTGTTTTGTAATTATTTTTTATTTTGATCATTAAATTTTTATGGTATTTGATTTTTTCTCTCTACGGGGAACTATTTTTTTACTTTTAGTAAAACTTTTGTAATGTTTTGGTTTTTCTTTTGTGATCTTTTTTTTTATTTTGTTCATTAAATTTTATTTTATTTGATTATTATTCATTCTACACTAAAATTAAATACGGTTTCACTATTTTAAGTTTTTTTTTTGGCTTTTAGTAAAAAATATTTTCTCGTTTTGGTTCTTATTTTGTTATTTTTAAAATTTTGGTCATTAAAATTCTATAATGTTTTACTTTTGTTCCTGCCTTATGCATAATATTTTTTTTAGTCTTATTGTTTATATATATATATATATATATATATATATATATATATATATATATATATATATATTTAGTCTTATTGTTTATAATATTTTTTTTGCTTTTAATGAATTTTATTTATTTATTTTGATCCTTATTTTATGATCTTTACGTTGTTTTGATCATTTAATTTTTATTGTGTAATTTTATCTCTATTTTCTTTTTTTTTACCAAATTCTCAATTTGACAAAGCTTTTTTATTTTTTATTTATTTTAGGTGGTCTTTGTATTTCATTAACAAATTACGGATGAATAATATATGGTAAAAATTAATCATCTAAAATTAAAAAAACTACCACATCATTATTTTAATTACTAGTTATTATATATATTTTAAAGAAAATACATGTTTATATCAAACAACATCTAATTAGAAACATTATATTACTCAACTTTGCGGACTTTTTGTTTAGCTAACCTACGCAATAAAATATGAAATATATGTTTGTTTTTTTTTTCACATGATACTTTTAAATAATTATTTTTAAATTTTGTATTTTATATGAATGAATATATAAGAGTGTTGTATAGCTCACCTCGCGGCAACACACGGGATATATGCTAGTATATAATGAAATAAATTTCGTGCCTCTCCTTAAGACTTGGGGCGGTTTTGTAAACCACCTCAAATTTGTTCTATAAAAGTCACATATCAATGCAAATGCTAAAAGACTAAACCGCCTCAACCATTTTGCTTTTACATCGGTATCTTGTTGCGGTGCGGGTATACTAGGTTAGGTGTATGTGCATGTTAGGATTTTTAATAAATCTAGTTGTCGACATTATAAATACGAATATCATCTCTTATATCCGTAGTCATTGATTGAAAACTTAATAAGAACTTCTAATGCAGCCTTGGAGTAGGTACAATTGTTGAATCATGTAAATTTTTAGTCACGTAAGTTTTTGTGTTGAGTGATTGTTTTTATCTTTTTATTTTTTTTTCTTGATTATTTTCCTAACAACTTGATTTGTTATGTCTTGGTGCAAACAAGCCCTATAGGCTGCTCTTAGTTGACATAAGACTAATCAAAGGAATACAGGATGAAACCAGAACATTTGACACTCATCCCTGCCGATTATGCAAAATGGCCATTTCGCAGTTGTGAATTGAGTTTCACGAGTTGGTTTTACATAATTTAGAAGGAATGAAAGGGTAAAAATGTCTCATTGAGGTCTACTCATCAGATGGCTAAATACTATATTATAAGGCTACTATTACATTCAGATTAGCATACAAATCCAAACACAACGAACCTTTCTTAATTAGTTCTTTCACACAAGAATACAATAGTAAATATTTCATATCATGCTGATTTTGAAATCAACTATATGTGGAATGAAAGTAGAGGATTCCTAGAGGTTTTCCAGGTTAGGTTGTGGAAGACAGCAGGGACTTTTGTTGAAGAACCTTCAGAGACAGATTTACGAGTGAATGTCACTTTCTTTTCTACTACATGCACCACCATAGATTCCACATCTGCAAACATACAACCTCCATGAGAACAATCAATGCTACTCGTATATTGGTATTTATTTATGTACATACTATATATCTTCTGGTTAATGTAAATTTAGCTTCTCTATTAGTTGTAAAGTTCAGTATGATCAAATGCGTAAAATTTTTATAGTGTAGGAGACGAAATCAAAAGTTGATCAATTCACATTTACCTTCAATACTTGAAATTGCATCAGTCACCCTCTTTTGGCACCTGAGGCATCCTAAATCAGCTGCTAAAACAACTTCCTGAGCCTACAACCATTACCAGAATTATTTACCATAAGCAAAAGCAAACAAGTACCCTTATGTACATGATTCATTACATAAAATGAATCAGATTGACAAAGAGAACCCACCCGAGGTTTCTGCGAGGAACTAACAGGAGCTGAGCTGATTCGAGGAAGAAGTGGTCTTACAGGTTTGTAGATTCTAAGTTTAGCAAGCTCCTTCTTAGCCCAAGATTCCATTATATAATGTTTCACGGAGAGAAGTTAATGCAACAAGTCATGCAGTGACTTGAGTTCATGGATTCATCCTCATGTTATAGCTGCTATAGTAAAGGTAAGGATGCCAATCTTGGAACAAAATGGACCATTTTTGATAGAGAAATGATATCTTTTAGTCGTTGGGACAGCAAAGTTGATTGAGACGGGGCATGTGATGGCGAACAAACAGATGCAAGCCTAGTGCCACACTTGACAAGGGAATAAAGAGAACCTCTTTTTAATCCACCTTTCGTTGTTTATTTTTCTCTTTGTCCCCCTTCCAAATAAATGCACGCAACAACCAATGGGAGTATGATTTACCTGTTTTGACAGGACTTTCTTAATGAATCATATGTGAAGTTTGTATTTCAAGTTCATTGATGTAAAGTTTAAATGGAGAAGCTATACATTTCTGAATACCCGCAACTAGCTTCCACGTATGCTTGGTGAATTGATGATCAGCTCAAAACTTACATCACCCATCTTTTTCAAAGGAAAAGAGTCCATGAGCATGCATGTTACTTAAACTTTAAGATCTCTTCTAAAAGCTTCAATCATTGTTTCCATTAAAATTAAAAAAAAAAAAAAAGGGGAAAATTGTTTTCTCCATGAAGGTGAATGATGATGCTCACAAGCAAGGCTAGCTATTTTTCTAGAAGTGGCATCCCAAAAATTATTTCTACCATTTTGAAAAGGTTGAACATTTTCATGTTTAATACAGCATACAAGATCCAACTTTCCAGAACTGTAACACTCTTTAGTTTGAACTATTTGGCCAAAGTCAGACAATTATTTTGTAACAGTAATTTTTTGGGTTACTGACAATTAGAAGAACTTCCTTACGTGGCTTCTTCTCAACAACCCACATATCTAGCTAATTTTGGTTTTGCTTCTTCTTCTTCTTCCTCTTGTATAAAGAATTAGCTAGAGAGTGTAAAGAGGTACTTTTTGATGCATTCATTCAATGAAAGGATTTGTCAAACACTGACTTTCCTTTGGCGAAAAGGTTATCAAGAGCCCTGCTGTTCTAAATTCTTATGCCCTCCTATGAGCTCAGAGAAAGAATATAATTTTTTAGGAGTGCAAAGGTTGGCATAAAATCATATTTGGACAGCAACGAAGTTGTTAATGGTTGACATCAGTTCATTTTTTAAGAAAAAAAATACAATCTGTTAGGTTCAAGCTACATCGAATCCCACTGCGAAACCAGACCAAACTGTAGACGATCCATTTTGATTCCGTTTGGTTTATTGGTTTTTTTTTTTTTTTTTTTTAAATTCAATATTGGATTTGATTAGATTAGCTTAGTATGCTCGTAATTCGTATGGATTTACCCGGGTCAATGAGATCTAGCCTATCAAAATATTTTATCTATAGCAATATTTTTTTCTTTTACCGTTTTCCGACATATAGATTTTTTATTTTTCAATTTTTTTAATTGATATTCTTTACTTTATTCATATAGATTAAAATTATCTATTTTTTTATTTAATTTTGCTTCACATCTTTTGTTATTATAATATTGTATATTTTTAATCCCACGTAGTATGTAATCATTAAACTTAATTTATAAATGAGCAACAAATGGCATTGTGGGTCTCAAAAGTTGATAACTCATCTATATTAAAAAAAAAAAAATTTAAATAACAATTTAAAGAATAATTAAAAAAAAAAAAACCTTCAAAGACCAATACCCCACCCCAATTATTTCCCAACAATTAAAGAATTACGATTAAGAAGCATAGTTGGCAAAGCATACTTTCTCCCTAGCATTGCCATGAATGTACAATTCATAAACTTTGCATGGCATTATTGAGAAATGTTATAATACATCATGAGTAATTACTAACATATACAATAGTTATTTTATGGGTCTACTTTGAGTAAAGAGATAGACACAAAAAAAGAAAGAGAGAGAGAAACGAGGAGGAGAAAATAAAAAAATTTAAGCGGACTTAGAAATTTTTTTATTATTGTTGATGGATATGAATGTAATTTTTTTTTTTTTGTTTATTTCTCTCTTCAAAGTGGATCCATGAAATAATTACTCGACATATTACTAATTACTTCGTTATATTATAAAATTTCTCCGGCATTATTAATCAAGTTTCATTTCGAAGGAAAATCATTATAGTTGGGGCTATTTTTCAGAAGTCGAAATGCACTTCTTTAGTAAGAACAGCTCGCATTCATGTCATTCGGAACTTGCACAATTAGTTCAAATAGTTCAAACAGGCCTATCTTTGGTCTTCAAAAACATATTTTATATCTTGAATTTAGATATATGTGCAGCTAGTTAGGTAGAAGAAGCGAACAAGAAGTGCATGTAGAACACACACCATGCATGTAACCACTCACACTCAAAATGCACTTTCAGCTTATTTAATTAGTCACCTTTCTAACCCTAGATTTTCTATCCAAAACAGCAAATTAATCATGGCCTCTCTTTACTCTGAGCCTACTATTCCAATTACTTCTCTAGTCTTGCTGCTTCTCGTTTCCTTTCCACCTTCAATCCTCTCACAAATTCCCACTGACCCAACGGTGACTGATTGCACGCCAAGGCTGCTTCCACTGGCTCCATGTGCCCCATTTGTTCAAGGCATGGCTCAGACACCAGTTCAATCTTGCTGTGACAGCCTCGACCAACTCTACCAGGAGCAGCCCAGTTGCATTTGCCTCTTGCTCAACGACACCAACTTGAGCTCTTTCCCAATTAACCGCACCTTAGCCCTGGAGCTGCCTGCTCTTTGCAACCTGCAAATTAATATTGCTGCCTGTTCTGGTATCCTTCAATCTGAATATTCTAGATTCTCTACCATAAAGAACTAGCATTTTTGTTTTCTTTATGAATGAATTTTTCTCTACCACGATGTGTGCTAAAATTTGCAATTTTTTTTTTTTGGTGAATTAGGGACTCAGCCGGTGCTTTCTAGTCCTCCTGCTTCTCAAGTTTCCATGGGAGCACCCTCCAATTCTTCAGCTGGGAGACGCACCAACTCTTCTATTGCCGGTATTCATATTTATTTGGCTTGCATGCATTCATTTTACTCTTATTTGTGTTATTACAGTAACAGCTACAAATTGATGGTCCCCACTCCCCTATTAAGTCTTGAAGTGATTTTTTTTTTTTTTTATTTATTAACAGAGTCTGATATTTTAATTTTTCTTTCTGACCATGCTTTTTTTGTCTTTTGGAACTCAGCTTCTCCTATGATTGAAGGGACACCGAGATCCTCCGTCATGGGGTTTGGAATTCATCGGAGTAGTGGTGTTAAGTTGGAGGTAGACGGTTCCTTGGTGCTTCTAGTGACTCTGGCAGCCATTTCTTTATCGAAAACATTTTACTGGGTCTAGGTTAATAAGAAGCATGTTATGTTTATTGCTATGCCGGTATCGTTAGTCTCTGTAGTTAGGAATGGTACTGGTTATCATGCGATTTCTCTTCTTTGATTTGTATCTGAATGCTACCCTTCTGGTGGTTTTGAAACAAAATCTATTTGTTTCTTATGGATGATTGCACCTGTATCAGAAGGGTTAAATTGCAAAAAGTAATTGAACAACCTTTTTTTAGCTCCAGAGATTGCATATTGCAAAATGCTTTGTAATCATGAAATCGCAGCCAAACTACAAGGCAGCTATTATCTGATCATAAGACAAGAAACCCTGAGTACAACCTCAACCCAAAATGCCTCTAATGGCACCTCAAGTGAGCAGGAGTATATGAAAATACATTAAGTAGGTAGACAATGGATAAAGAGAACATGGGGAAATTACCTAGCAGGTTTTTTGGCAAGATGAAAGTATCATTATGAATTTCTCATTTTAGTTCATCTATTTTCCCTTTCTTAAAAGACTCCGGACGCTCCTTGTCCTAAACTGCTTTTCACTAAAAGTTGCTTCTTTTCTTTGCTGACAAGGACGTGCATGTACATACAACTTGAATATCTTGAAAATGCTCACTCTCTATTACATAACTGCTATTCCAATTAATTTTCCAGATGGTTTCTCTAGTTAAGAAAGTAAGAATTAGCTTAAACCCCCTGCCTATGAACTCAAGTTTTCATTTGAAAAAACTTTTCAAGCTCCAGCAAATCTTAAGACCCACATGGAAACTGACAGAGAGAATTTCGGGCGACTATGCACAAACATGGTATGTGCTAGTAATTTTCATCCCAGAAATCCTATTCCAATTAATTTTCCAGATGGTTTCTCTAGTTAAGAATGTAAGAATTAGGTTAAACCCCCTGCCTATCAACTCAAGTTTTCAATTGAGAAAACTTTTCAGGTTCCAGCAAATCTTAGGACTCACATAGAAACTGAAAGAGAGAATTTCGGACGACTATGCAAAAACATGGTATGTGCTAGTAAACTGAATTGATACTAAGAATTTTTCTGTATCCATATCTCACAAATAGTTACATATATTTGCAAAGTTTCAAAATAGCAGCATTACCTTGTCAATCAAAGACATTTCCTTTTGTAGGATCTATATCATAGTCCAGAAGCAGAGATTCTTCACATTCATTGCAGAGTGACTATTCCAAACTAGGAGCCACCTCAGTTGGATTGGAGTCGAAGACATCAGAATTAGATGCTTCAGGTTCTTCTAAAAGATCCCGAGACTGGATTGATTCTTTGTATGCAGGTGTCTCCTTAAAATCTGTTGCCCCTCCATTGTATGTAAGCACAGCAATCCCACATGCAACTAGCTGAAAAAAATCACTAGAGCATTAGCCCTAAGAGTAGTAAAGAAACTACTTTCACTAAGCTAAACTGAGAGAGGACATCTAGTGGAGCTAAAGTAGCAGAAATCAATTACACCAGTTAAGCTGCAAGCCAAAAGTCTGAATATCTAGGCTTTCAGACAGAATTATTAGCTTAGTATTTTCACTATCCAAACTGAATGAAGGCTTCCCAGCCATCGCAAGCTTGACAAGCACAGAGGTTAAGCAGAGATAGTTTCCAACTTCCATGTGCTAATTGTCTTTCTTCTTTTCTTTCAAAAGTTAGAGAAATAGAAAAGAGGAAAACTTTCGTATCCTTGTTCATGGCGAGCAAACTAGTATTCTCTGTTAGAAAATTCTTTCACTGCCAGAAGAATATCCCAAAACATTTCTCTGTTTCTACTATTTCTATCTTCTCTAATTCTATTACAATTCTTTTTCTTCTTTTCTTTTCATGTTAGCCAGATCGTGGACCAGTAAAACGCAATCAAATTTATTGAAAAAACAACAAATCACCGTTTTTTATGCTTCCATTACATTTCATTTCATTACATAATACTAAATGTATTGTAAATTCATATGCAAATGAAGTACTAATTTGCAGCAACTTGAAACCATACAAAAAACTTCTTGCACCCATTAATTACTAAAAATTGTAGGAGTATATGTATAAATAGTTGATAATTGTAATTGCATATGAGATATCTAAGATCATAACGGGGACAAAGAACATAAGGTCTTAGATCACGAATTAATAACAACCTAAGTAATCACTCTGAAAGGTACAATCAATAAAAACTAAAATTTCTTTATCCACACAGTTTATTGGCCAATGATACAAAAAATCCACACCCAAATGACTATAACTAGATTCACCTAGATTCAACTTTAGTTTCTTGCAATCAATAGATTCACCTCATCAATAACATAGGATAAGCACTTGGTAAGTTATAGTGATGCTCATGTAATCATTTTTCGAGCAAAAGCCAGAAAACGAAACGATACCATGCATATGAGGCAAAAAAAAAAAACTATATTTAACAAAAGAAAAGCAGAAACAAGAGCAACAATACTTGAACAAAAATAGAAGTAAGGAGGCATCATACCGCAAAAAGAATACCAAAAGCCCACATATACTGCACAAAGAAGCCAAGACCATCCCACTGTGGACCTTCCCAGAAATCAGGCTCATTCCCAGGAAGCTCTGGCAAGAAATAACCATCATAATTCTCACCAACACTTGTACTAACATTTTCAACTTCACCGCTAACATTTTCAACGCCACCACCACCATCCCTTTTAACCTCTTCTTGCTCTTTGGTCGTAGTTGAGCTCCTCTTGTTCTTGCTGTCAAACTTGCCAATTCTAGAGGAAGAGGAGAGTTTCTTGTTGGAAGCTGAGACTATATGGAGATGATCTTGAGGTGATCTTCTGAGTGGAAATAGGATATGAGGACGGTATGGGGTGTGGGTGTGAAGGTGGTGTCTTGTAGGGTTGGTGTAGATGATTCTGCCTCCACCACCATTGCCATTGGCTATAAAGAGAGACATGAATTGAGGTGGGTTAGTGAGTGAGTGGATGAGAGTCTGAGCTTTAACACTGGTTTTTTGAGGATAAAATGCCAGCTTTCGTGTACGTCGCTCTCCAGTTCTGTGGGCTGGGCTTAACTGGTAGGCCTCGTTCTTATTGTGCATTTAAAAATATAAAAGTGTAACTACATTCAATTGGACCTAAAACTTTTAGGCCCTTTTTCATTTTTCCCATTTTCGTTTTCATATATATATATATAAACTCGCATTTGAACAGTATAAAACGCTAAATTTACAAATATAACTTTTCTCGTAAAAGTGAGAATACAAAGAGTTATAGGGATTCCTATGCATAATATTCTAGGCAAAATCTACTTTCCTAAAAAAGACATAGATGTGCACCTAGAGTCTACTAAAAAAGCATATTTTACTTAAAGATGAGATGAAATTGTCCTACTAGTTTTTTGAAGAATGTTAACGTTTATTTCATTGTTTGTTTTTATTAGAAAATAATATAAATTAAATCTTAAATTTTTTTATTTAATAATTTAATTTTTGAATATAGTATCAAAACTTTATTAATCAAATAGTTCAAAGTTTAAATCTCACACCCCTCATTTTCTTTTAATTAATGTTGATTTCATTGTTTGTTTTTGTTAAAAAATAATATAAATTATATTTTAAGTTTTTTATTTAATAATTTAATTTTTTAAATTGAGATAATTTTTTAATATAATTTCAAAACTTTATTAATTAAATAGTTAAAAGTTCAGATCTCACAACTCTCGCTTTCTTCTAATTAAGATTAAATAACTAAATACAAGTTAGTGGTGGATTATAAATTATATCCTAATATATCTATGGTAACGATAGATTAAATTAATTTTTATATTTATTATTTTTAAAAAAAAAAACTTAAGTTCATCTAGCTTTTTAAAATACTTTCTTCGTATACATTACATGAGATTATAAGAGGATAACGCCTTGAAATTTATTTTCCAGATTAAAAAAAAGAAAAGAAATAAACATCTATAATAATAATAATAATAATAATAATAGAAGAGTTCATTTTAGGTTGGAATTAAATCAAGAAGTGAAAAGTACATGGTTCAATCGTTCAATGAGTCAGTGGATCCGGTTCATGGATTCAACCACCCAGATGGACCAACATCTTTTTTTTTCCTGGTTCATTTGTACCTGTCAATGGCGTTGTAGTAGATCGGAATCCTGGTCAAGATGTATTAATTTTTTCGGTGGCTTTTTTGCTATCTGAAACCTTACGCTATAAGATCTGTGAACTTACAGAAAAAATAATTCCATCGCACAGCTTTTAGAATTTGATTCTCCCTTCATTAAGAACACAAGCCTTTTGAAAGGGTTAAAATAAAAAAACTCAGTACCAATATATTATTAACCAAATCATCGAATGGAGGAAAAAAAAAATACATACATACATAAATATATATATATAAATTGTCTAAAATCCAAATTCATCTACCAATTTCTTAATTTAACAGTTACAAAAAAATATTTACTAGCCTATTCAATTCTTAATTTTGCAATTATTTTCTGTTTTTCCTTTTTAGTCCTTTTCCCTTTGGCATCCCAATATGCAAGCCTCCGAAATTAAAGCGAATAAAATTTAAAGAAAATCCTTGGATTAGTTCAACACCTATTTCTTCCTTAATTAACTGTTTTTTTCGTCCAAATTTACAACCTATCATCGTCATCAGTCTTTTTCTTTTTTTTAACCTACTGAAACGATCGGTAGCCCTAAAAACTTCGGGTTCCCCGAAACGTTTCGTTTTCTTTTCCCTAGATATTTTCACAGAGCCGATAACTCGGGCTGCCACTGCAACCCCGAAATATCGGCCGGTACAAAATTCTCGTCCGAGTGATCAAACAACCCACCTAACGCCACAAAATCCCCGTTATTATCACTATCATTTTGATTTCCATCCGGGTTGCCACCGAGTCCAAACTCAAACGAGTCATAATTCGGTATCTCGTTCTCAAATCCTAGCATCCAACCAAAACCAACAGTTCCAGGTCCCTCCTCCTCCGCTGACACAACGGAGACAGCGGCGGCAGATTTGTCCTCACCGGAGGTAAAAGTCGGCGGCAAGCCAAGCTCGTCATCCGAGGCCTCCAGGAGGTAACCAAGGTCAGGTTGGGAACCACCTGAATGCAACGACATCTCCGGCACCGGAGCTCCGACGAGAATCTCCTCTTCAAAGCTTCTGATAACCGAGTCCAGCCCTTGAATCGCTGGCTCATCCGAGTCGTCAAAGATGTCGAGCAAATCGTCCTGGATACGCTTAGCTTCTTCTGGTGAGTTAACAACCGAGTTGTCCGGGTCAACTCGGTCCTCACCTGAGTCATCTCGGTCCGGTTCCGGAACGTGCGTGTTGGCATCCGAATCGACCCGAGCGAGTTTGGTCTCGGGCGAATCGGAACTCGAGACGTCAAACTCATCCCGGGTTCGTTTCTTGCTGCTGTCTTGGTCCATGATAATGTCTCAACTTTGTAAGGGGGAGAGAGAGAAATCGAATACCTAGGTTAGGAAGGATTATGTCTCTCTTATTTTCAAGACACAGTAAGAAAGCACTAAAAGGACAAAGTTTGGTTATTGTAATAACAGAACAGTCGATAGTTTCTAGAGAGAGAGAGATAGAATGAGAGTGTTAGCCTGTTTGGCAGACGAGAAAGCTTTTAGAGAGAGAATATATGGCGAGTTGGGCGAGAGGGAAAGAGAAAGGAGCAGGGTATATATAGTAGAAAAGAAAAGAAGAAGATAGGGATTTTGCGTCTTTAATTAAAATTATTATTTTTAGGAGAAGATAGTGACAAGGCAGCGTGTAGAGCGGAGGAGGTTTAATGGACCCTACATCACGGGGCCTCAACCTTTTTTAATTTAATATATTTTTATTTTTTCGAGTTGTGAGGCGGGAATTTGGATTCTGCTTTTGCTCTTCTTTCTTCCGTCAACAATTAACTATATTAAACTATGACTTTCAGGTCCGTTGGTTCCGGGGCCACCAAGGAAGGGAGGGGATCATGTGAGTGTTAGATCTGTCATTTGGTTGATTTTGTGGACTTGGGGTTTTTTTGCCTTGCTGCCTCCTCTTTTTGAATTTTCATGGTTTTTTTTTTTCAGGTTGGAGTTTTGACGCTTTGCTTCTTTGTCAAGGCGCCACTAGTCCATGTTTTGAAGTTTTTTGGCTGACCATATATATCTTGGGGAGATAGTCTGTAGACAATATCTTGTGGACAAAGTCGATAGAAAGATCCTCTAGAAGAAGTTGGATATTTTGTTGGGATTTATGGACCAAATTGGAATTTGATGGGCAGATTTGCTTTTTTCTATTTTAGGATGGAGGAAGTTATGGTTGGTCTTTTTAGAAAATTCGGCCAAGGTAACCTGTATGATGCACCAACTCTTTCTAAGGAAAAAAGCGCACGACACCACTATAAAGAAAAAGAGTGAGAAATATCTTTTAGATAATTCTCAAAAATAAGCATCGAAGTTCACAAATATTATTGGATTAACTTAAAGAAGAATACTGAGAAAAACTTCAGCGAAATTATGGGAGATTAAATCATTATCTTGAATAGGATCTATTGGTGAGTGTTTATTTTATTTATTTATTATTATTATTGTTTAATATTGCTCTAAACTATTTATATATGGGAAAAGAAAACATAAATTTGTTGTTTGGAAAAAGACAAAAAGTGAGAGGATAAGAAATTGAAAAAAAAAGGGAAAAACTCTCGTTATAAGCCCATTTTTACCTATCCTTTTATTCTAAGAAGAGAGTGTCATTTTTTTTTTTTAAAAAAAAAGAATATCTTGGTGATTTTCTTATGGATGACAGCTTTTCATCACTTTAATTCTTCTTTTTTCTATTTTTTTTTAGTTTTATTTTTAATGTATTAACAATTTAGATCTAGATTTGATTTGTAGGATAAAAATTCCTACTTTGTTAGGATATTTTGTCTTTGAAATTAAGCTTTGGTGTTTCTATTGTAGATGTTTCTTGTGGGTTGGAAGAGATTTACGTGTTTTAATAATTCTAGATGGTTGAGATTTTTTATCAATACGACTTAATAGTGCGAGTCCATTTCTCTTTTAAGTTATGATGTTGTTAAATAAGATTGTGTGTGATGTGTATAAAAAATCCTATTTTGGGCAATTTTTGTCGAAAATGTCAATAAACGTTTGTTAACGTCCATGAAAAGATTATTTACTACCTAAAAGATTATCATTCATCGTTATCGTAAGTCTTTTTGTCTAATTTTTTCAATGTAACAAATTGCAACTTCCTTCTTAGTTTTTGGTATCATTGTTTTACAAAAATAGTGATTTGTTTGTTTGATTTATTTTATCAATATAATTACTATCTTTTATAAATAAATAAATAAAAATATGAATAGAAAACTTATACTAGGAATAAATTATAATTTTACTAACCCAATTAATAGTCTCAAATTAAGTCATATAATCTTAACATTTTCCTATAAGAAAAAAGTTTATCTTATTATTTTATTGTTTGATTGAAAAACTATTTCCTTTCTTCCTATTTTGTTTCCTTCCAAATTTACATTAACTTATTCTTAGCTTGAAAAAAATTGATTTTTTTTTCTATATTCTTTCCACACAAATACAAAAATCACACTACAAATCAAAATGACATTAGGTTTTAGTATTGAATGAAAAGTAAAGATTGGTACACCTTTTCGGTATTGAAAAAATAAATATTATAACTTAACTATTAAAGAAATGTGATCATAGATAAAACTATCAATTAAATTAATATATTATAATTTGACTATTAAATTATGGATCTTGAAAGAAAAGTGGTGGAAGATTTATTTGCTTATTATTTGAAGTGTGTGAATTTTATATTTAAAAAAAAAAAAACTTCATAACACACTCGATGTGTGATAATTCTTTCACCTTTAAGTGTGCAATATCTTCATGACACTACAATCTTAATCTAGGATTAAGGGATTCTAAAGATGACTTCGACGAGGTTATTAATTTTGATTGATGGTGTGTGATGAGATCATTTGTCCTTGGGTAATATGATGGTGGAGTTTATGGTGGATTGACATTTAATTGATGAATATATCCTAATTCCGTGGAATCTCAAATAAACAAGCACCAAAGTCAAAACCAATACATAATAGTTAACTCCAAAAACAAACACAACAACCCTTAAATAACAATCAACTCAAATCATAAAATAAGGATAACCGAATATAGACATAGACAAAATCCTAAAACTCTATGAACTTTGATGTTGTCAAAACACCCTCTAGTCTTTTTAGATTTTTATGAATGATCTATTTAAGTCTAACAAATATGATTGGCAAAGTTTGAAATCAAATTGACAATCCTAGCCCCAATAGAGCTTAATGCTAAAACTATCCAACATCGAATAATCAAGATTTAACCAAAAAATCTAAAAAAATAAAAGATAGATATGCAAGCTCAATTAACAACCTCGAGGATACATATTACCACCACCACAAGAAAGATTAGTTGCACTAGCATAGGATATATACATAAAAAAAATCCTACAAATACAATTGCCACCACCATAAGATGGTTGAATGCGATAGTCGAGAATCCACTTTAACTTATCACTCTAAGGATACAAGATAACATATCTTAGTCCAAGGAAACACAAATCAAAGAAAAATCTATGAAGTAATTTATTTCAATATTCGATAAAACTTAAAAAAATTATATCAAAGCTTTGCTTAAATACTAGTTAGGTAATTTCGGATAGGATTAGAAAAATTTATCCTATTGGACTATAAAAACTAGCCTTGGTCAACCTAATAGAGAAAAATAACTTTAGACCTATTTGAACCCTTATGCAATAATTATTCAATAAGAACTTTAATTTAAAGTTGTCTATATTAAATAACAATTCATAATAAATAAGGATCTATCACCTAATAAACACTAAGTCTATTTGACCAAACCAAGAAATAATAAGAAATCCAACTCATGAGAACCAATTAATTATCTCAAGTATGTATATACAACAAAAATAACTCAAAAAGTAATTTTTCAACTCAAAATAGGACAACATGAATGCATAAAGCATAAAATAAATAGAGATAAGACCGAGTGTTTTGGCTTTGTAGGCTTGGAACATTCAACTATGTTGAAGTGGAGACACTCTTATATCATACTCTCGGGGTTGAAGAAGATTCAAGCTCAACATCTTGATCTTCATCTTCTTTTCCTTAGTAAGGAGACAAATCCAATATATTAAATGTTTGAGACAATATAATCTTTAGGTAACTCAATCTTATACGTATTATCATTCACCTTAGTCTCAATATAGAATGGACCATATGCTTTCGACTTTAACCTTTTATACGACCCTTTTAGAAAACCTTTCCTTCCTTAAGTACACCTATACTAGATCTCCCACTTCAAAAGATAATGGTCTCTTAAAATTATTTTTTTGCTTTTGATACTTTTCATTCTGCTTTAAGATCTTCTCTATAATATGCTTATGATTTTTTTTTAATCTCTTTAGCTTTGTATCGACATCGACACTACATTGCTTAAGAGTCGACATAGGTGTAAGCTCAATAGTAGTAATGGATTTCTTCTATACAACACTTCAAAAGGAATTTTACACGTGTTTCGACTAGATAAACAATTATAAACAAACTAAGTTTGGGTAAGCAATAAGTCTCAATGTCATATAATTTTCCCTACAAAACTCCATAAAAGACTTCCTAAACTTCAATTAACTACTTTGATTTGTCCAACTATTTGGATGGATGATCAAACTAAATTTTAAGTTTGATCTCATCTTCCTTCATAATGTCCTCTAAAAATGACTCATAAATTTCACATCTCTATCCGAAATAATGCTTTTTAAAACTCCATGCAACTATCTCACAAAAGTATAAGTTTGTTATTTTAGTCACATCATGTATGGTTTTATAGGCAATAAAGTGAGTCATCTTTGAAACCTTATCTACTACTACTATTATGACATCCTTAGACCTTTGTATCCTAGGAAGTCCCACTATAAAATCTAAGCCAACATCAACCCATAGGTATTCAAGAACTAGTAATGTTATATACGAATTTGTCTTTTGAGTTTTTGTCTTGATTATGTGACAAACCCTATAATTTTTCACATGCTTATCAACATCTTGATGTATATGTAGCCAATATAAACTTTTTTGCTATAAATTCTCTAGTTTTATCTTGTTCCTAATGTCCAACAAGTCCACCATCATGACATTCATACAAAATAAAGTCATACAAAGAACATTTCATAATGCACAAATCATTTACATGAAATAAATAATTATTATCAATATGGAATTATTTAAAAGGAGACGTAACATATTCTTTCCAAATTTAACATAAATCTTCATCCTCGGGATATAGGTCTTTCAGTACCTCAAATCTAGCGACCTTGACTTGTAAAAGAAGAAAGCAAAAAATACCTCCAACTAAATGAATCC